GGGTCATCTTATAATCAGGGTCATCTTCTATTTGAGTAAATATGGTAGTTATATCATGTTGTATTGTTATAGTGACTCAGAGACCACCAGTTATTGTTATAATAAATCTGAATGTGTGATTTATAATAAACACTTGAATGCCACTCTTATACCTCATCAGGGGTTCTCTCTGATCACGCATCAGCCGCATAGTAACTTCACAAGCTCTTCGGAAGAGACCTTCTGTTCCCATTGGGCCCATTCCATTGACCATATTATGAGTAAGACGAAAAGGTACAATTTCTGGAACTTCAAATGTTTCCCCCTTAAAATAAATAAAAATAAACTGAAATTAATTTCAAAAGTGTGTGGATTTATAAAACTTTATAGTTTCTTTTGCAAATTATAGCCTCCCAAAAATCATATCATCCTGGCAAAAAAACTCTGGCATCACTGTAATGATCTTAACCCAGCAGCTAGTATACATTTGGCCATATTTCAAACCTACCTCAACATTTTGGGCACAACCAAAGGACTGTAGTTACTTAAAGGATTAGAACAGTAAAGGTGATAAATATTTTAGTAAGAAACTCTTAGAAAAACTGGCTAAATATTTTCCTATGTATCATACAGTCCTCTAGCCAGTGTCAATAGCCCTCTCATGCAACTATCAAAAGGCTTTACTTCTTTTTTTCTTTTCTTAAAGCACATAATATGGATTTTTTTTTTAAATAACCGTTGTCCCATTGTCTCAGGCAAGTTATGGCAAGAGTTTTAAAAATCTTTGTTGTTATCACAATTTATAGACTTTTAATCAAAACTGTTGGTACTGGATTTATGACCTAGATACCTTGTTTCAGGAGGACCCAAACCCTTTGACTGAGCACAACCTCTCTCATTTGATAATAGGCAAATTTTATTGATATACAGTGATAGCAGATAAGAGTAATGCAGGTAAGGCAAACAAAATAAGCCCCTCATATTCTGTATCTACCTGTCCTAGGGTTCACAGCTGGCTAGTATGCGAGCTTCACCTTCACCCCATTTTTTTGAATGTCAGCAGTTTTGGAAGTTTAGGGCTGAGGACCATCCGCTGCAATGGGGTGGGTGAGACGAGTTGGTTGTGTGCTCTTTGTCCTTGGGTTCCCCCCTGGTGGCCTTGGGTTCCCCCCTCGGGAGCCTTTTGCTGCTCTGAAATCCTTCCTTTTGTATTCTTTTCCTCCTCTGATGACTCTTCATTTCCAGGTACCATTGACTGGTTTCCCTGTGGTCATCATATTGGCCATGTTCTGTCCTGTCAGCATGTTTCTGCATTTCCCAAACCCATCATATGTACACATCTTCATTTGGTCATTTACTGGTGTCTTAATTTGGGCCTGCCCCAGCTTTCTAATTTGATCTGTCCACCAACACTGGAAATCCCAAGAGCTCTACAGCTGGTCACTATGCCCTAGCCAATGTGGCAAGTCTATCTCATGTTATGGGCACATTGTGCAGATTTCCCAGCCTGTTTATGCCTGTCTCTTGGCCTCAGACAAGGTGTCTGCCTTGAGGGAAACTGTCACAAACAGGCTTTTAGAAAACAATTGACCCTTGCCATTCCCCTGGACCGTTGTTCTAATGCATGTCTACTTTACCTACAAGCCAATTCCCAAAAGCAAATCTCTAAATATAATTTCTAGCCATCAAAAACATTATCTTAAAAATCAAGGTTGCCTTGGACTAACAAGGCTAAATGTTGGCAATTTTGGATGTAGCAAGATAAATAAATGAACAAGAGCTGCACCATTTACTTCTGAATTATAAAACAAAAAAACCCAACCCCTCTCCCCCCAGAAGTTGCATTCCAATTACATCTTGCAATAAAATTACCCAAATCCTAAAGGCTGTTACTGCCATTGTTGAAAAGATGCCACTACTTTCATCCACTGTAAATTCTGCATTGAGTAACTGATGTGCAAAAATACACTCATTTACAAGAGAGTTCAAACAATCATAAAAAGATCATAGTCACGGTAAACACCTTACAACTACTCTGAAATCTGGTACCATTTTAGCGTAACCAAAGAGAGCATATGTGGTGCCTCATGAAGCTAATCCTGTCTTTGGTTCTCAGTGCAAGACAAGGATTTTTTTGGGTGATATCTTTTATTGGACCACCATAGTTGGGATAAAGTTAGATAAGCTTTTGAATGTAAATCATTCTTCTTCATGTCTGAGAGAGAGAGAAAGCACACTGATGTTTAAGAGCAGTGTGGAGAGCTGTGAAATTGAAGGGGTGGGGAAGAAATTCCTACGGACAGTAAACAAACAATTATTACAAAAGAAGCTTGACTACTGGGAGATCAAGACCTATCAAAAGGGAGGAGGGGTCATCATCATCTGCAGTGTATAGGAAAAATTTTAGGAATCGGGTAGATTATGATGCATCATAAAAATCAATATTGACATTTAGTTCTTAGTTCCTAGTGTCCAGCCAGCTTATGAATTTTTGTTCCCAAGCTTTCCCAACTCCCACGTTATTTATGGAAATGGAAAAAAGATGATACCATAAATTAAGTGGGAGATAGGTTGATTTAAAAATGCCAAAAAGGTAGGAATGCATTAAATTTAAATTTACAAGTCCTTAAAAAGTTAAAAGCAAGTTCAGTAAATGTGTTCTTACCTTATTGAACAGACAGTTGAAATCCACATGCACACATTCACCAGTCAAAGAATCAAACAGAATATTTTCACCATGACGATCTCCAAGACCAAGTATGTAACCAACCATTGACATCACTGCAGTGGAACGACAATAGGCTGATCTGCTATTGTACCTACAGATAACAAGAATCCAACATAAAAATCTAGGATCACTTTATCCTAATATTTCTGTAAGTGCAATGTGGGAACTTTTAAATAGTTCTTGCTCTTTGTGTAGACAGCTTTAATCTTATTTTGCTTGATAGGTTTTTTAATCTTTCTCTCTGCTTTAGCTTCATTTAGATTTTGCAAAAATACTTTAAAATAAATCAGTGTCAGTGAGCTATCACAATCCATCACTGACCATGAGGTGGGATCAGGGAACGTTCTCAGAAACCATTCATGAAAAACAGGAGGATGACGGGGCAGAAGAATTTCCTTGAACATTTTCAGTTTTTCTGATAAAGGTGCTGACTTAGGAAGCATGTGCTGACGTAGTTCCTTCCCAGTCATGTAGATTCCTGTAAAAAGATTTAAATTAGGTGCAAAATCGTAAAACACAGTACTATTTAGGATTAATTGACTGTGGACTATGATACCATAATTATAAAAAGGGTAAACTGATTTATTAAAGTTAAAAAAGCACTGGCAACTCAAGAAAACAGAAAGATTATAAAGTTGAACCTTAGCCAAGGTTGCCAAATGCCTTCTAGAAATAAATACCTGTGATTTTTCAATCATGCCAACTGATAGATGTAAAAGACAGAGCTATCACATTCAGAGCTGGAACACCCCCCCCACACACACACACACACTTTGTCACCTCCCAGTGGACAACTGCAAGAATCACTGTCTGCCTTTTTCACTCAGAAATCATTTGATAAATTATAAAAAAGTAATGAAATTAAAAATAAATATTTTAAAAATAAAACACCCTCATATGAAAGTGACAGATAAAAAAGAATGATCGAAGCCCAGAACAAAAGCCAAATGTCATTTCAGGTGACAATGCCAAGGACATAGTTTAATCTTTTTACACCATTCCTCGGTTCTCAGGGAGCCACTACTGCGAGCTTAAATATTTTCACACTGAAGAGTACGATAAAAAAATCTACAGGCCCACATAGGGGTGTGCTGGTAATGGCTAAACACATTCTGCTGCAGCTTATCTTCCTTTCCCTAACAAATGGCTAATTCCTTCTGGATGCCTGAGCTGAAAGATATGATTTAGTCCTACAGCCTCTATCACAACACTGGAATAAT